CGGGATTCTTATATATTTTGTAAAACTTATGAAAGATGTCAACGTACAGGTAATTTAAGCCGTATGAATGAAATGTCGCTTAATTCTATACAAGTTTGTGAAATTTTTTATGTTTGGGGAATCAACTATATAGGTCCTTTTACTTCATCATTTGGAAATACTTATATTATTTTAGCTGTGGATTATATTTCTAAATGGGTGGAAGCTAAAGTCACTCGAAATAATGATGCTAAAACTACAATTAATTTTTTAAAAAATATTTTTTCCAGGTTTGGCACGCCACGGGCTATAATAAGCGACAGAGGAACACATTTCATCAACCGAGTAATCGAGTCGCTAATGAAGAAATTTGGAGTAACTCAAAGAATTGTTACCGTTTACCATCCACAAACAAATGGACATGCAGAAGTATCAAATCGAGAAATTAAAACAATTCTTGAGAAAATTGTTAAACCAGACCGAAAGGATTGGAGTTTAAAATTAACTGATGCACTTTGGGCATATCGAACTGCTTATAAAGGTTCCATTGGAATGTCATCATACCGTCTTGTTTTTTGTAATCTATGCCATTTACCGGTCGAGTTAGAACATCAGGCTTATTGGGCCGTTAAACAATGTAACATGGACATGGATGCAATTGGTGAAGCTCGGAAATTACACATTCAAGAACTTGAGGAAATCTAAAGAAATGCCTATGATAATGCTCGGATATTTAAAGAAAAAACAAAAGAATTTCACGATAGTAGAATTTCTTTTAAAACTTTTTCTGTCGGTCAAAATGTTTTATTATTTAACTCCAAATTTAAACTTTTTGCAGGAAAACTCAAATCAAAATGGCTCGGACTGTTTACAGTTACTCAAGTATTTCCTCACGGTGCTGTTGAAATTGAAGATAACTCAGGAGTACGATTAAAAGTTAATGGTCAAAGATTGAAGCCATATTATGAAAATGCTTCGGTTGGTCTAATCGAAGAAATCAAGTTAGAGGAACCCACGCTTTGAAAATTCAGGTCGTCGAGCTAACGAAGTTAAACAAAAGTACTTGATGGGAGGCAACCCATTTCGTTATATTTTTGTTTTTATTTTCGTTTTATTTTCAGCGAACTTTATTTCATTATATATATTTTATTTTGAGTTATTTTATTTTATTTTTCTCTGAACAGATCCGAATTCCGATCGAATATTTCTTACCTTCGCCCGGGCTCGTCTCGACATGACCATGACCGCGGTCGCCACTAGATTGGGGAGTATTCCTTTTCCCTCTCTTTGTTTTTAAATTCGATATACGTTTTGGGATAAAACAAAATAAGTGAGGGGGGAAGGATAATTATTTGTCAAATTTTTCCTTGACTTGTTTAATTATTTGAAATTGAGTTATTCTGATGTTGATATGTTGGGATCGTTGGTTGCTAGTCTTGAATTTCTTTTTATACTCTCACTTCCTTTTGGATTATGACCATGTTTTTTATCGAATTTAATTTGCATGATTGGTGATTGATATAACTAGTGAATTTTTTGTTGAGTATTGATATCTCATGCTTTTGTCAATATAGATGAACTTGACTCAATGCATATAAACTTTTCTTGTGAGATTTGAGCCTAACGAGCATACATTTTCTTTCTTGCTCATTGTTTGACTTGTGTGTGCCGAACTAATTAGGATATTCTAGAACTTGTAATCACAATGCATATCGAGACTATATGTTGAACGTAATGTTTTAATGTGATATGGGCACCTAGGATAAACCCATTTTTCCCAAAAAGCATACCCGTTTATATATCCACTAGTAAACCACGTTTGAGCCTATTTTCCTTTCTTTATTTTACACCTCATAATTAAACCCAAAGCCTTTCTTTTTATTTTACCTCTCTTTTCACACCCTTACCGAGACTTGAAATATTGTATCATTGTTTTTCCACGAAGAAAAACCAAAAAAAGGAAGAAGAAAAAAAAGACCCTTTGTTGAAAAAAAAATCAAAAAAAGGGCAAGGAAAAATCGTTCGCTTCAATTGTCTTTCATCTATTCTTTTTCCTTGTTTTGTTCTTCATTGCGCTTCATGTTAATTCGTGGATTGTTATTAATTATTTTGATCTCTAGTTTCGGTATTTTAAACCATTCTTTTCGGCTTTTTCCCTACCCTAACCTAAGCCCCGTTACACCTTATTTAAAGACCCCTTGATTATTGCATTATGTTCATTTTTCATAGTAGAGACTTGATTAGATTCCAAGCCTATGGTAATATTTTGATTAGTTTAGGTTTGAACGATTTCATTTACCCCAAACACTTTGAACGGATATGTGTGAATCTTTGTGAGGTATTGAGTCATGTTTCATTGAAGTTGGCAATTAATTGTGATATCTTGCTTACTTTAAATTTTTTTGGTTATGTCTTTGCTTGATTGTAACTTGAATTCGACAAATGTCATGGACTTAGTTCAATTGGAAGTTTGAGAAATAAGTTGAAATTAAAGATGACAACGTATGATTTTGATATGTTAATTGAGGAATACTTGAGGACAAACATTGAATAAGTGAGCGAGAATTTGATAAGTGATTATTTTATTTAATATTTTACTTTTAAATTACTCTTTAATCATTGATTTTTGTGGCTTATTTGTTCATTTTAATTCATTTTATGTACAGGACGTAAGATTCTGGAAATTGCACAAAAAGGACACAATTCTGCATTTTTTTCGGAATTAAAGCTGGCTGGAATTCGGATTTGGATTAAACTCAAGGTTAGGATAATATTTTAAACATTATATTTTATCTTTGTATTTTAGTTTAAATATGTTTTTAGTATTTTAATTAAGTTTTAAGATATTATTTTTATATTTTATATTTGTTTTAGGTATTTTAGTTGAAATAGGTTTTAGTGTTTTAATTAGGATTTAGAATATTATATTATTATTTTTAGATATTTTAGTTTAAATAGTTTTAAGTGTTTTAATTAGGATTTAAGATGTTTTATCTTGTTTTTAGGATTTTGAAGGCTATAAATACCCTCTAAGGGTGCTCTCATTCGAGAATAAAATATTCTTTTTCTCTCTAGCTTTCTCTCTATTTTTCGCATACTTTTCTATTATGCTAAGTATGATTTTAGTCATGCTTAGCTAATTCTCTTTCAAGCTGAAGGCTAAAGCGAATGCTCAATTCCAAACGTGAGAATTGTAAGGTACTTAAATCGCTTCGGATTTTTTCTCTGTTTTATGAGCTTACTTTTCAAATCAAAATGATTTCGACATTGGTCCGGATATTCTTATGGTTAACGTTTGAAGAAAGATTTGCTTATTAAAGCATATTCAACTTCCCGAGAACACACTTAGCAAAATTGTTTGCTAAGAGGAAACTGACATCGGAATCAGTTGTTATTGAAACGACACAATCCGAGTTGGCAGCGAAGTATTGTCCTTGTAAGCTGCCTTGAATCTTGAAGTAAAAATATATTTCGATGATCCGAGGAATTTGAGACAAAACTGAAGTCTAAGGCTGCTTTCACAATAAGTTTCTTTTTATCTCAATCTCTTTAATTTGTTTATTTAATTATTTTTCTTTTATTTAATTCTTATTCTTTATTTTAAAAACAACCTTTAAAAATCCTCTTTTATATTTATTACTATTAATATTTATTATTTTATTATTTTTCCTTTTTATAATTATTTATTTTATTATTCATTTTTAACTTTACCTGGAATTTTATCTTTTCCTAAAATTAAGAAACAATTTTATTAAATCACAAAAACCATAGTCCCTGTGGATCGACACTGCTTCTCTATACTACTTTTTCATTTTTATTTATTAAGAAGTCAGGAATTATTTTGATAGCAAAACAACGGTTATCAATGCTCAGACACTCTGCTTATATGGTACTCAAACTCAAAACCTCAAGCAGAATCGTATCTAGGCCCTAGCCCACCTTATGCCCCAAAAAGGATAAATTACTTAGTCACACATATATTATTTAGTTTCTGTTTGGCATAATGCCAAAATTATCACCTAACGTTTATTAAAATGGTCATTTTGCCATATATTCTATTTTTTTGGAGCATTTTAGCCCCAAGTTTCATTTTAGGACAAAAAAGCCCCTAACATTAGACAAAATAATCACTTTGTCCTTTATTCTTTTTTTTCTAAAGTATTTTAGCCCTCAACGTTTCATTTTAGGTTAAAAATGACTCATATTTTGGAGCATTAATCGTGTGTTAACAAATAGTTTTTCTATAGAGAGGGTTTTTTGCCCCAAAGTGAAACGTTGGGGGCCAAAATGCTCCAAAAAAAGAATTGGGACCAAAATGACCATTTTAATAAACATTGGAGGCTATCTTGACATTATGTCTTTCTATTTTGGTCACTCAACTATTATTTATTTTAAATCACACATAATATTAAGTTTTTGTTATGTTCTGGTCACTCATCTTTAAAAAAATTATCGGTGATATTGATGTGTCATCATAAGATGATGTCACCTCATGATTAAAAATAATTAAAAAAATGTCATATTAACACATTGTTAATTCTTTAACAGTAGGTGATCAAAACAAAACCAAAACGTAAGGTTATATATGATTTTGAAAAAATAATAGTTGAGTGTCCAAAACATAATTAAGTAATAGGTGGGTGACTAAATAGTTAGTTTACCCTAAATAAAAAAATATGTATGAATTTCTCTCTCTCCCCCTCCCTCTCTCTCTAATATATATATATATATATATTATACTCTCTCTATATATATAATAGTTATTATATTTTTAAATTAAAAATGTATATAGAATTTTTCTGAGTTTGCCACTGATCTCAATAGATAACAACATTTTTTTAGTCATTGAAATGATATAGGTTTAAAGGCAATTATTTATAGTTTAAGAATTAAAAAATTATATGTAATTTAATCATTTAAATTTATATAAAAAAGTCATAAAAGCACAATATCACAACTATGAATATAAAACATATATAACAACAAATATGATTACAATTAATTAAGCATTTCCACAACTCCGATAAAACATTGACTTATGTTCACATGTCATGAGGGGAATTAATATGTTTTACGCATTTGGCCTCCCAAATCGAAGATACCATTCCGTGCTAATTTTTTAATTACTCCTTGATGATGAATTCCAAATCTCCTCCAGTTCCCTGGCAAACGCCTTCTGTCTCCCAACAACAATCGTAATGTGGTCTTTCTTCTCGACGACCTTAACTCGAGCACGAGGGATTTTTCTCTGGACATTATAACTACACTCGAGCGGGATTACTTCGTCGTCTTTGCCGTGGAATATGGTTACGTCACAGTTCAGTCGGTCGCAGACGAAGTCCAAATAACGGTCGAGCTTGGTCGCAGTGCCACACATAATGTTGTGAAGCGTATGCCAGGCAGCGTTGTGTGTGTGGCAGAAGAACCCTTCCATCAAGAATGTTCTCACCCTACATAAATATTTTGATTGAAAAAATGCATTAAAATTTAGGGGACATTTGGTAGATGAAGGTCAATATCAAAAAGCATAGCATAAATGAAGCTGAAGCTGATGCTGATGGATCTTTCATTGACTGTTTCAGATTACGAATATTGGTAAAATGTTGGTAAAATATTAGGATTGACTAATTTTAATTTACCTGTTTCTGGTGACAAGTTTGGTGAGAAATTCCCATATCCGATGGTTCTTGCAGATGACAAGGCAAATCGTCCGGCTGATGTGCTCGTACCAGCAAGCCAGAGATGCACAAAACGCCATCACCGGCCACACTCGTCGTGGCGCTAATTTTCTCATAACATATTGCGTTGCCGCTTCACCCCTTGGTACCGGATAGTACGGCTGCCAATGTTCATGTATAATATTTCTTATTAATCGGTAAATCTTTTTTGCCTACAATTGGTAAACTGAAAAGAAATTTACCGGTGTTAGTAGGGTTAATGACTTGACCGACCCCGGGTGTTTTACAGCTATAGCAAGTGCTAAGATGCAGCCTAAGGAATGAGCCACAATGTGGAAAGATTTCACTTCGTAATTTTCAAGCACGGATTTTTCGATCATGTCCACATGTTCCCTTAAGGTGTACAGAGAGTCGGCTGGTTTCGGACTTCTCCCGAACCCTAGAAGATCGACTGCCAAGAACCGGTAAGTCGATTTTGCAGTGCTTGAAAAGTTGGGGAATAAAGTTTCAGTCCAAAATGCTGATGATGAAATGAAGCCATGGATGAATATCACATCTTCTTGTGCTTTATTATCTGAAATCACAATAATATAATGAAGTTAGCAGATTCGGATGTTATTTGATTCAGTCGACCGTAACCATTTTTTACCCTTTGGTGCTTGAGCCTTGACGAAGAGGGTGTCGTTGCTGGAAGAGGCCCAAGAATTGCAGAATTTACAGTCGCAGTCGGACCATGTAGGAATATGATGCAATTGCTGGCCAACCATCTTGCCCTGAAGCATTTCCACAACGATGGAGTTGATGGTGAACGTCGATCTCGTCGACCCTTTCTTCATCTTCTCGCAACGCTTCATCCTAGTGCCGTCGAACTTGAGTTTCTTCAGCTCATTAACGGTGAGCTTCGAGGCCTCGGCCACCAGTGAAGGACGTGAATAAAGGGTATCCGAAATGTCCTCCAGCTGCAACTTGTTTGAATTGAGGCTAACAATCTTGGACTCCCCTTGTTCAGAGACTAAAATCATGCCGCCGCCGCCGCTGGTGATGGCTTCTTTAGTGGGGCAGCAGTAACAAGGCCTCCACTCGGCTTCGATGCAGAAATCCGCCACTTTGTAAGCGAAACACAGAATGGAATCAACAAGGTCGAGAACAGAGAAGACAACGAAGCTCACGGCCGTATTCAGAACTCCGCCGATGAACTTCGCGACCGAGCCGGTTTTACACATTACATCCATTTGAGAATTACAATGACAATTAGAGCTAAAATATGTGAGAAACAAATGGAAGGCCTCAGCCGTGTTCTATATCATCGTTTCTTCTCTGTTTCACATGAAATGCAGAATACGCGAACATAAATAGAAACCTAAGCAAAATATGAATACGTTAAAATTTATTTAATAAAAATATCATTAATATATAATATTTTACACATGATTAAATATAAAAAAAAGTAAATGCCATACTCGATAGTCAAATCTAAAACCATATCTGTGTGCTGAAATGGAAACGTGTGGGAGAGATTCTATTAAAGGTTAATGTGTGAGAGGGTTGCCCAAATATTGTTACAACAATTGGGCCAAGGAAGAAGAAGGTTGGTGGTGGTTGAACCTCCAATGGTGAATGCTGAAGAAAAATTTAAGATTTCTTGACATGCTTGTACACAAAAACCAATACATTATTTGTTTATATTTATTTTTTAATTATTTTAATATTTATATTTATTAAATTATGTATTTAATGTTAATTTGTTATATTTGTTGAAGGAGCTGTTATCTGTCATGATAATATGTAATTTTTATAGAGTTTTCAAATCAAAATTTGAGAGTTGAGGTTTGATTTTAGTTAACAAAAACTTAAAAGAAGAAAGAAAGAGCGAGACAATATGATCATAAAAAGAAAATAAGATGAAAGGTCACGTGTCAAATATTCATTCGATATTTAACGGTGTAGCGGATCTAATTTAAAATGAATATAAAATGAAACGTTAAATATTGATTTTTATAATATATATATATATATATATATATATATATATATATTTAAAATAAAAATTAATAATTTAAACATTTAATTTATAATTAAATCAAAAAAATTATACTGTATTGACAGTCAATGTAGCCTACTGTTTTGTTTTTCTTACAACGCATCCTTTATTCGGGTGGCTTAGGCGAACCATTAATGCTACAAATATATTTTTATTAATGTAAATACATACAATTCAAAGGACATCTTTGTCATTTTCTCGATCCTCTTGTATTTATTGTATTTATTGCATGCTTTCTTCTCCACATGACTCTCATATTCTCTATGGTATTGACACTTACCAACGTCATCTTGACGGGTCAATATATTTGTAAAAAGGGCAAAGTACATATGTGATCACTTAACCATACTAAAATAGTTTTTCTAGACACTAATGTTTCAACATTTACAAAATAATTATCAGGTCCGCACCAAACGATGTGTAGACCCTGTCTTACTTTTTCAAATAAATTCTCTAAAATATTTTATAATAAGGGCTGAATTGTTAAATTTGAAATTATGAAGGATATAATGTCTTTTTACCGAAATCTATCATGGAAAATGATTAAAGATATGATCAAAATATTCGTTTGCAACTTTATCTGACATTTTCCCAATAACCAAATGGAAATTTTATTTTCCCTTCGAAAGAAAATGTCGTTAGGATACAAAAGTTGTCCATGGACGTGCCTAAATGGTATTCATGTGTGGGGCCCTTAAATTTTGAGATTCTATGATATGTCACATATCACACTTGTACATGGACAACCCTAATAATGATCGCATTTGATAAATTTAAGGACCATTATGTAACTATTTAAAAAATTAATAATTATTTTATTTTTTTAAAACTTCAATAATTTAGAATATTGCTTTCAAATAATTTAATGACTATATCATTAGAAACATACAATTTTACCAATAACTAGTTGGTTTAGTGGGATGAGACATTAAATCCCTAAAATAATGTCAAGAGTTTGAATACTAATGCTTAGGAATGATTACCCTCATAACAAGTCTCTATAAAACTCGAGCAAAATAATCTCAATAAGTCATATACATATGTTTAACATGCAATTTTTAGGACAGTAAAGGTGCATGCACATGCAATGAAGTAAATAATATCTGTGAAATGCCTAAAGTTATACTATTATTACCAAGCTATATTAATTATTCACATAATGACATACCATGTATGGTAATTTTCTTCACCAAACTGAGTTAATTTCCCTGATTAAGATGTGTCGACAATAGAAAGGAGGAGACTTAATGAGCCTCTTTTGGCGGTGACCTACAGTCTCAAGACCTTAAATTTATTGTTTAGGTGTAATTATACGGTTGATGTGTTCCTCCATATGGCCCTTAATCGATCTATGATATTGATGCTGACTTGTAACATACATAATTGCCCGATTTACCTACAATTTGCAGCCAATTTAACTGTAACACCTTAATTTTGTCTGAATCATGCGAGTCAAAGTAGAGACAGTTGAAGATTTAGTTTTGGGCCACTAGCAAAATTGATTCGAATCGAATAGATAAAATGGACATTGTGCAATTGTGCGGTTTTTTTAGTCCAATAAGGATAACATATCTTTTATTTAACCCATTAGGATATCTCGGTTTATATTTTGGAATCTATGACATTTTCTACATTATTATTAGAACTAATCACGTCGAAGTGGCGAGTTCCAATAAAAATATTTTTTTATTCGAACTCATCACGTCGAGATGACGATTTCCAATAAAATATAATTTTTTTATTAAAATCTATCACATCAAACTGAAAAGTTAAAATAAAAAATATTTTTATAGGACATGTCACTGTAAAAAAATATCATAGATCTCAAAATAAATTTTTACTTACTCTATTAGGCTAAATAAAAAACATATATACCTTACTAGGCCAATTTTACCTCAATTGTGGAGCTTCAAATCAAATTCGGGGTAATCAAGATTTTCGGAGTTTTCTGAATGAAAAAAAGACTACATTGATTCGAGCAGTGTTACGAGTCAATATGCATTAGATCAAATAAAAATACCCAGTTTAAATGTACATTTACAACCAAAGCCCAAAACATTAAAATGTCCATTTCATATCAAATACCCATTACAAATTAAATTCAAAATCCATCACATTGGCAACCCAAATTAAATCCCATCATCCCAAACCATTACCCACTAAAAAAACTATATCAGCCCAATTAACCAAACCAGCAACAATTGTGGTCCCGCTCCACAGCAGCCTCCACGCGTGCACCCAACGGCCCTCTTTTATCCCATGTGGCACACGCCAGTAGCGGCTCCTAAATGCTTCATTAGCCACCACGTGAGCACTAAACCGTGGCCCAAACATCATCTCATCGCCACACTAGCTGCCAACAGCAGCCACAACAGCCCCATGTGGCACACGCCAGCAGCGGGTCCTGAATGCTTCATTAGCCACCACGTGAGCACCAAACAGTGGCCCAAACATTATCTCCTCGCCCCACTAGCTGCCAACAGCAGCCACAGCATCCTCAACAGCCACGCGTGCAGCCAGATGGCCCCATGGCCTCATCACCAAACAAACAAGACAAAGCAACAATGAATTCAATTCAGTTTTTTATTTTTATTTTTTTGTAATGGAGGGGGGTAAAAACAAAAAAAATGTATTTTTTTTCGGTTGACAGCTTTGTAACAGGGGCTTCCTCTTCCCCCCATTTTAAAAGAGAACCGAACAGCAATACAAATAAAGGCAGGAAACTTTTTTCCTTCTTCATTCCTCTCGAAAGCAAGCAATATACCAAATAGACACAGTGAGCTCTTTGTCCTTTAGATTTTTTTTTTAGTAATTTTTTTGTAAAAATAAATAAAGAGAAGGGGTTTAGTTCGTTACCTTGCCCGGTCGGTTGAGTTCTCACCGCCGGGGTGTCCTCGTTGGGAAAAGAGGGCGTCGAGGACCCTTTGGTCGTTTAGGGTCGTGGCCTTGGTCTCGGTTTTAGTACTAGAGTGAGGAAGCGAGGCGAGGCTCGGGTCTGGTTTGTTCTTTGGTTTACCACCATCGGGGGTGGCCATGGGGATGAGCCGCCATCTATGGCGGCGGTTTAAGTTTGGCCTTCTCGGCCACATGAAGGAGAGAGGGAGAGACTTCAGGGGGGCTGCTGTTAGGTTTGACTTTACCTTGGAACACCTTTTTCGGTCGCGTTTGGGGTTGGTTGGACCCGGAGTGGCCGTCGTTGAGCGGTGGCCGACGTGCAAGAGTCGGCGATGGGCGTTGGGTTTCCTTAGGGCGCCGCCGTTCGTGGGTTGAAGGACAGATGAGAAAGAGTTTTAGGCTTGTTTAGTTTTAAGTGCAGTTAGAGTGTGTTTGGTTGAGGGAATGTGAGATTATCATAAAAATGAAATCCACATTTTTTTCGTTTGGTTGGTCGGGAATGTCATTTTCGATGATCTTACTAATAGTAGATTTTTTTAGGTATATTATTATCATAAAAATGAAATCCACATTTTCTCGTTTGGTTGGTTGGGAATGTCATTTCCGATGATCTTACTAATAGTAGATTTTTTTAGGTATATTACTGAGAATGTTATTACCTCCATTTTCTTAAGTATTGTTGGATTATCAGTGTTTTAGACTAAAATGTCTTTAATTTTTTTTCCTTTCAAAAATATTCTTATTCTGTCGTTGAATAATAAAAATTCTACTAAGGTTAAATTACAAATTTATCCTTAAACTATTTTAGATTTACAAAAAAAATTATAATTAAAATTTTATATGAATTTCAAAGATAAAATAAATTCATTAAACCTTTTTATATTTTTAATTTTGTAAAAAAAATTATATAAATTTTATGAATTTAAATTTTTTAAAGAAAATATATATATATTTTTCAATTTGTTAAAAAAATAAATATATAATAAGGACAATTTGATTAAATATACATTATAATAATATTTTATTCCTTTAACAAAACACGGTAATCTTACATTCCTGTTAAACCAACCAAACACAAAATACAACATTCTCAGTAATCCTATTCTCTGGTAATCTTACATTCTCACTGGTAATCTTACATTATGTGAACCAAACGCACCTTTAGAGTTTTCCTAATTAGTAAAAATATAGGTGTTATATTAAAATATGGGTAAATTGCGTCCAGGTCCCCTTAAGCCGCATATTTCTATATTGGTCACCGATTTTGGGTTATTTTGTTTTATTTCGATTTTCTGAGCCTTTATTTGCTATTTCCCCTTTTTATTTTGTGTAGAAATATATGTTGTGAGTTCTAATTTAATCACCATTTAGATCCTCCAATTGT